GGGCTTGGATAGTCCAGCACAGGATTGCAGTTTTCATTCTCCCAGAAATAAAAATGGGCTCTTCCTACATTTTCTTTTCACTATCAGTGTTGGCATGCAGTAATTTTGAGTGTGTGGACTGAGTCAGGAAGGGATTTTCTTTACACACTTCTAAGATATTTGGCCAAGCTCTGGCGGCCTTTTACAGTGAAGGCTGAGAGACGGGTGCATTTTAAAACCAGGCCAGAGAGAGGATTGTACCTTCTGTCTCCCACCCCCACGCCACCCCCAACCCCACCCCCGGCTCAGCTGCTTTCCATCCCTCTGATCCAGCTGCTTGGGATTACTGGTGGTACCACAGCTGAGGTGTCTCCAGACAAATATAGATTTTTTTTTAAAATATTTATTTTCTAGTTATAGGTGGACATAAATATCTTTATTTTATTTTTATGTGGTTCTGAGGATCGAACCGAGTGCCTCAGGCATGCTAGGTGAGTGCTCTACCTCTGAGCCACAACCCCACCCCAGACAAATATAGTTTTTAAATTATTATTATTATTATTACTATTACTATTATTATTATTTTTAAGCAGTGCTGGGCATCAAACCTAGGCCCTTGCATGCACTGGGCAAGCTCTCACCACTGAGCCATACCCTCTAGCTCATGCTTTTTTTTTTTTTTTTTTGGTAGGCAGGTGTTCCTGGGGATTGAACCCAGGGCCTCAAACATGCTAGGTGACTGCTGTATCTCTGAGCTACATTTAGGGCCCCACTAATTGCCCAGGCTGGCCTTGAACTTGTGATCCTCCTCCCTCATCCTCTTGATTACAAGGTATACACCACCACATGTGGCTTCCATGAAATGCTTTTTAACAGGCAGCAACGCACAACGACTAGGTGATGGTACCTATCCATGTACCTACCTCCCAACTCTGCCAACATTTCCAACCTCGTGTTTTTTTTTTTTTTTGTTTGTTTGTTTGTTTTTTTCTCAATCAAGAAATGTTATAGATTCAGTTACAGCTTCCTGTGGCCTTGTCCTGCTCCCTGGTGTCTTTCCCTCCTGGGATAACCCCTATCCTGAATTCCATGACTAGGGTTCTCGTGCATATTTTCACACTTGACAACACCTGAATATAGTTCTAAACGACATATTCTTCTTGTGCACATTTCAAACTTTCTGTATAAACTGCATTGTTCTGCAACTCTTATTATGATCATTACTATTTTGCTCAGCATTACATTTGTGAGATTTGGTGGTTGTATTAGGTACTCCCTAACACTAAAGAGCTGTACCTGCCTTCCTTCTTCTTTTGCCCCCCACCCCCCCACCACCATCTATGCACTGGCAATTGAACACAGGACCTCATGAATGCTAAGTACATGCTCTACCAGGGAGCTACACCCCAGCCCATGTATCTGCCCTTCTGTACTCTATTCCTTGGGCTTCTTTGATTTCAATTTGAGTTCTGTCAATAGGAGTACTTTAGACATAATGAGGAGAGACAGTATTGTTTTTTCACTTTTTCTTCTCCCTTCTTCTGATGCTTTTCCTGACACAGCAGCCCTTCCTCCATACCCCCACTCCGTCTGGGCCCCTTTCAACCCTTCTAGCTTCAGTAATCCCCCTCCTCATTTTCTACCCCAACCATAGTTTTGCGGAGTCTTGCTTCACTTAATCTCCTGTGTTCATAATGCCTATCATGGTCTGTTTTCTGACTGGACCCTGCCTATTGTAGACCTGTTCTTAAATGGAGCTGCGTACTATTTATTCACTTTTAATTGCTACATTGTATTTCATTATACAATTAATATATCACCATGTATTCACCTATTCTCTTGTTGATGGATGGAAGGTTCCCCCCCATTACATGCCAGGTTGCAAAGATTTTTTTTTTTTATATGGTTCTGGGGATTGAATCTGGAGTCTTGTATATGCTTGGCAAATATTCTAACACTAAACTACACCCCCAGCCCTTACTGCTATTTTTAATGTGATTCTTTAAAAATCATATGTTCTAGTTGGCTTTTCCTAATGAAAAGGAGCACTTGGATTTCACATCCAGAAGACTTGTGCATCACACTTACAGACTTGCTCATATTACTGTCTCCTTGCACTTCAGGGCTAACCAACCTGGTAAATTCAATTTTCTAGCAATTTGTGTACTAATTTAAAGCTTTTTTTTTTTTTTTGGGTACAGAATTTGTTAACTGAGAAACTAAACAGCTGTGCAAAGTGATTCAATTTGTCAGAGGGGCAAAAGGCTTAGGTAGAGCAGGCCCTTAGGCTGTGGGACCTCAATAGGCTTCTCCGCCTCTATTGCCTGTATATTGTGTTTTTGTTTATTTCAGCTAGTAGTGATTATCACCCCCCCTCCCTTCACTACCCTTCAATTTCTATTTATCATTATTAATTACTATTATTTTATTTTTAAGATTTTTTTTTTAGATTGGGCTCCACTAAGCACTCAAATACTACCTGTTATTCAGGTTTTGGAACTCTCCAGAGTGTTTCTCATAACACTATACAAAGAGCTCTGAGCTGAGATAAAGTGTTGCCTGTTGATGAATTGACTTGCTTCTGTTTATTAGCTCAATGCATTATTTTATTTAAACAAACTTTTCTATAATGCTTATTAAATACTCAATACTGTCCTGTGTATGCTATTTTACAAATGTTAACTCATTTGTATCAGGTATCAAACCTGAAGTAAATATTCCTATAATTCCTACATTTTAAGGTAGGTTCATAAAGATTTTAATTTGTAAGTGGGAGAAAGATACCCAGAGATTCTGGCTTCAGGGTCAGAGTATACAGGTAAACCATTTAGTAGGTTCTACTATTTTATATATTTCTTTTGTATCACGTTTGTAAACACGGTATATGTGAATATGAATATACACTCTTGATTATTCTTTTTTTCCCCCACAAAAGCAATTTTTACACTGCTCTGCTACTTGTCCCCCCCCTTAACTGCATATTTTAGAAATATTTCTATACCAATATGTAGAACACTTCCTTTTTTTAAAAGCTGCATGACATTAATATTTTGTTATGTGAATGTATCATACTTAAATAATTCCCTGTTAAGAGATACTTGATGACTTCTATTCTTTTACAATTTAACTTCTATTCTTTTACAATTATATTATTTGTTTTTTATTTTATTTTTTGGCACTGAGGATTGAACCCAGGGGCTAAATCCCTGGTTCTTTTTATTTTTTTAAATTTCGAATAGGGTCTCACTAAATTGCTGAGACTGGCTTTGAACTTTCGATCCTCTTGCTTCAGCCTCCCAAGTCGCTGGGATTATAGGAGTGTACCATTGCACCTGGCTCTCCATAGCCCTTTAAATTTTTTTTTTCTTCATAATGTTTTATTACTTGCTGTTAAAAAATTATTGGAAGCTGGATGTGGTGATGCATGCCTATAATCCCAGTAGCTGGGGAGGCTGACACAGAAGATCACGAGTTCAAAGCCAGCCTCAGCAATGGTTATACCTTAAGCAACTCAACATAAATAAAATACAAAAAAATAGGTGTGGGATGTGGCTCAGTGGTCAAGTGCCCCTGAGTTCAATACCTAGTACCCCCCCCCCCCAAAAAAAAAGGCAATCCCTACCTCAATAGATTAACCTGTTTTCTGGCATGTAGTAAATTTTCAACAAATGAGTTTTGAAAAATGTAAATTTATCATCATGGATTTTCTTAAGATTTTTTTTTTGCTAAAACCACTTAAATGAAATAATATTGATAAAATATATTAAAATATTTTGTTCAGCCTTTTTTTTTTTTTTTGAGACAGGGTCTTGCTTATTTGCTTAGGGTCTAACTGAGTTGCTGAGGCTGGCCTGGAACCTCTGCCTCAGCCTCCTGAGCTGCTGGGATTATATGCTTGCCCAGCTTCATTTGTCATTTCCTTATAGAGAAAACTGAAATTCTTTCTCCTAGCTTTTTGCTGCTATCTATAGTTAATCCTACTGTGCAATAGCACCCAGAACTTCTTGCTCCTATATAACTGGAACTCAGTTGATCGATCAACTGTAACTGAGTTAATTGATCAACATGCATAATTAATCAACATTTCCCTCTACTTGTCTCTTTCTACCTCCTGCTGGGGGTTGAACTCAGGGCCCCTGCACACACTAGGCAGGTGCTCCATCACTGAGCTACACCTCCAGCCTAGGTTTTTTTTTTTTTTTAGTTGTAGATGGACACAATATCTTTATTTTATTTACTTTTATGTGGGATTGAACCCAGTGCCTCACACATGCTAGGTAACCCCTCTATCACTGAGCTACAACCCCAGTCCTTTTAAAAAACTTTATTATGAATTTTACTATTTTAAGCAATTTCATTGCTTGTGTGTTTCATTGTAAGATGTCACAACCTTTCGTAGGTGGGTGGAGTATAGATTCCAAATGAGAAATGTTCAACAATGTCTAGGGTTTTAGTGGCAGTGGTGATTTTCCAAAATCATTAGTGTAGAAATTAATTTAGATGGTTTAGCACCTACGCTCGTCAGGTGTTTTATATCCAATAATATTGTGTTGAATTCAGGGGGAAAATCTGATTTTATTTTCAATTTCTGCTAGAAAATTCTAAGACGTTTCACAACCTTACAAAGTAGTGGTGCTTGGCACGGGCGTGACAATTGCACATATTATCACCGTGACATTTTATTAAGTACTGAATTACGCTGTTCATGAACGGTTGTGGGTTTTGCTTTTGAGCTGAGCCTTATTTTCACATCTCTTCTCTACAGCTCTTGTGTTGGAGCTGCTGAGTTCCAGCAGCCCTCCTTCAAGGCATCTCCAGAGGGGGCTCGGTTCGTTACTCAGGGGCGGCACAAAGCGTTGTGTTCCTTTTCCTCACAACCCGCACGTGGTCTCCCGAGGAGACAGCAGAATGCCCACTAACTCATGCTTTTCCATTACTCATTCCGCCTTTTCTCCCAAGGTGGCGTGTGGGAGGTGTTGTGCGCGGGTTCGACAAGAATAGGCCAGGAAGCAATCCGCGGGATGCACTCATCCCTTTGCGCGGTTCCATTTCCACCGCGCCGTGTTCGGCGGGTTAGCCGTGTGAGATGTTTTCCAAAAGGACAATGACTCCACACTCGGCCGCTCCCCTGTGAGTGTCAGCTCTTGCACGGGCGTCTGGACCGTCCAGTCCAGCCCCACCCCCGCAGCGAACCTTTCGTCCGCTTACGAGGCGGATTACCCGGCTGCCGGGGCGCGGCTGCTGCCCACGAAGGCCCTTTGCGCGGCACCCGGGAAGGAGCTCCCGGCGCCAGCCTTGCCCACCCCGCAGCCTGGCACCCGCGCCGCCAGGGGGCGCTGAGGAATCTCCGCAGCTCCTCGCAGTTTCCCCGCCCCCTCCCTGGCTTCCCTTGCGATTGGCCCGCTGCGCTCAACTCCGCGCTCTGATTGGTTTGCTTTCACGTCAGTCCGAGAGGGGGCGGGCCGAGGTGACGCTCAGCGCCTTCGCTCGGGGCGGTGTCCGGCGCCGGCGACTGAGGGCGGAGTTTGGTAAGCGGCGACGCTGGGCAGTCAGACGGCAGCAGTCCTGGGAGGTGTCCGCGAGCGTCCGAGCCGCTTCTGGTCCGCCGCAGCCGCCACCCCCAGCTCATCGCTGCACCCCGTCTTCCTGCTCTCCGGCCTTCTATCCGCCGACAATCTCGAATGCAGAGCCCGGCCGCTGCGTGATGGGGCTGCGGAGCGGCGCCCTGCGGCTCGCGGCGGCCGCTGCTCGCGCTGAAGTGCGTCGGTGCCCGGCCCCCCGCGCCCCCGCGCGCCCCGGCCCCTGCTGACCCGGCTCGCCCGTCGGCCCGCAGCGCGGCTGAGGTGAGGCTGCGAGCGGGCGGCGGTTGGCGCCGGGGAGGGGACCGCTCCCGACGGCAGGGACTCGGGTCCGGGTCCGGGAGGATCCAGGGGAGGGGGCGGCGGGGCCGGGCGAGGCCGGGGTGAGAATGCCGGGGAGGGGCCCCTTCCTGGCCGCGACACGCCCGGGGCTGGTGTCCAGCGGCCTGCTGCCCCCCGCAGTGCCTTGCGCCGGCCCTGCGTTTCCCGCGAGCTGCCAGGCCCTGGCCCTGCCCACAGGGTCAGCACGCCCGCCGCGGGCCGACCGTGCCCTGGGCAACGGCGCTGCTCCGCTGGATCCGTCCTTTTCTGTCCCCTTTGCTGTTCCCCATTATGGTTGGCATCGGGGTTGGGCAGGGAATGTGGCTATGCCCCTGTGCCAGTTGAAGGCAGGAAAGGGCATCGCGTGGCCCTGGGGGCACCGAGGGCGCGACGCACGGGGAGGGGGCTTATTGGATGTCGGCCAGCAGTGAGCTAGGCTGGTGTGGTTTCGGCGTTGAGCCGACCAGGATTACTCGGGCAGCCATATTGGGAGGATGATCTGACAAATCCTTTAGGAGCCAAGTCCGGTTGCTGGAAGGCACCGAGTGACAGCCCTGGCAGCTTTCAGGGTGACTGGCCGCGCCAGAAGCCAAGTTGTGGGGGTTGGGAGGCCGCTGGAGCAAGCTAGTCATTGTTCATGTAACACAAAACATTCCCGGCCGAAACACCAAAATTGAGCTCCAAAATCACGTTTTCTTCTTGGTGAATTGGTAAAGGAGCTTCCAAGATAAAGTGCCAAGATAAAGAGTCCATTCTTGTTGTGATGAAATTGTATGTTTGTGTACTCATCTGATACATCCAGTGCTGTGGACATAGAAAGCCTGTCGATGTGCATAGGCAGATCTGAGGATTGCCAAGGCCACTCTACTAGTCCAGGTAGTATATTGTATTGAATGGTTAGATTTGCAAAGTAGCTCAACAGGCAGAGATTAAGTAAACTTGAATATTCTGACAGTGCTTGTAGCAATTTTTAGAGGATGCAGGTTGTCATCTTTGTGGAATCTCAAGGTAGCTGAAATTAGATCCCTTGCTCATATATCTCTTCATGCTCCAGGCGCTCTTTGGCCAACACTTGAGCATGCTGCTTTGTATCATAATGCGTCTGAGCCGAATCAAAGTGCGCGATTGGATTTGAATAATTGTTAAAAAGTGATATCATGGTAGATATTTTATTTAAAGCCTGACATTTTGTCTGCTTAGCTTAGTCATAACAAAATTTTATCTCCTCTAAAAAGTGAGGTGGTGTTTTCTAATTTTGTTGGTATTGTTGGGTTATGAAGTAAGTGAAGTTGTTAATGTTCCATTTGGGGTTGGAATATGAAGATTGCAAACATGTTGGCATTGTAAAGCCGATCTGGAAATGATCAATAACTGGATTCTGTGTGAGTCTGTAAATCTGTCTTTTCCTACATCCAAGAGGTGGCAGGACCTGGATAGATAGCCTGCCTGCTCCTTTATTTGTACATTGCTTTCATTCAAATCCCATTTCTCTGCTTGCTTTTTATTTCCCTCTTTCTTTCTTTTGCTTATGGTGTTGGGGATCTAACCCAGGGCCTTATGCATGCTAGGCAAGCAATCTATCACTGAGCTAGTTCCCAGCCCTCAAACTCCATTTCTTTCTTTTCTTTTTTTTTTTTTTTCGGTACTGGATTTAACCCAGGGGTGCTTTACTACTGAGCTACATCACTGGCCCTTTTTGTTTTCTATTTTGAGACAGGGTCTCACTAAGTTGCTTAGGGCCTCACTAAGTTGCTGAAGCTTTGAATTGGTAGTTTTCCTGCCTTAGCCTCACTAGTTGTTGGGATTGCAGGTGTGCCCCACCTCCTCTAGGCCCAAACTTCCTTCTTCCCTCCCTTCCTTCCTTTCTTACTGGGGATTAGAACTCAGGGGCACTTAATCACTGAGTCATATCCCTGGCCCTTTTTTTGTATTTTATTTAGAGACAGGGTCTCACTAAGTTGCTTAGTGCCTGACAAGTTGTTGAGGCTGACTTTGAACTCCAGATCCTTCTGCCTCAGTCTCCTGAGCGGCTGGGATTACAGAAGTGTGCCTAACCACGGTCCATTTCTTAATGCTTCTTAAGTTGAATTACTTAAAAAAATTTTCCAGTAGGTTTTTCTAAGAAAAATTTTAACATCCTCCATTTTTTTTCTTTGCAATTTTTATCATTAGACATTTCCTTTAAAACTTGATTAAATTAAATATGGGTTCAATAGAAACTAGCATTTCTTGCATTACACTAATATGAGAGAAATGCAAAATGTTTGTTTTATAACTCCATGCCTGAAATAAGAAATATTTGTAAGTTTTTAATTTTTAGAGTTTATTTATATAAAGATCTGAAGATTGTGGTTAAACATAATTTGAGCATTTGGTAAAATTGAACCTGTTTGTGAATCTGATATGGAGATAAGACTTTGAGTCTAAGAAGGCTCTGCTTTGATGAATATTTTTCCAGAGTTTATCCAATGAAGAATAGCTTCTGAAGCTTAGGACAGACTCTTTTTCCTTTTCAAGAACAGATATTAATGTGGTTTTCCTTTTTTCTCTTTCTTCTTTCCCATTTTGAATTTGTGCAAGGAATAAATGCCCAGAATTCTGCCAACAGTTTCCAAGGCCAAAGCTTTCTAGTTCATTTATATGCTATGGTCTTGTCCCAGGTACAAAGTAAAGGACAACAATGGTCACTGCCTTGTTTGTCCCAGCTGCTAATCATAGCAGGTCTTTTCCAGGGGTTTAAAAATATATATATAAATATATTTATATATATCCCTTTCGTCTTACAAACAGGTAATTTCACATGGCTCTGAAGTTAAAGGTATCTCATGTGTACTTTATGTAGTTCTCTTTGAAAGAGGGCCTTATCTGAACAAATATACACTTATCTATCTATCTATCTATCTATCTATCTATCTATATATAAAAATTTTTTTGTGTGTGTGTGTGTGTGAAGGATTGAAGAGAAATTAAACAGGTGATTGTGTTAGGAAAATCTGCAAAAGGTACCTTGGAACTGGGCATTGTGGCATGTACCTGGCATTCCAGCTACTCTGGAGACTGAGGCAGTAGGATAGATGACAAGTTGGAGGCTATAGCCTGGGCAACTTCTTGGAGAACCTGTCTCAAAATAAAATAAAAAGGGATGGGGACATAGCTTAGTAATAAAGTTCTTACCTAGCCTGCACAGACCCTGGGTTCAGTCCCTGGTACTGTAAAAAAAAATAAAACAAAAGACAATTGCTAGGTGCAGTGGTGCATGCCTGTAATCCCAGCTGCTCAGGAGGCTGAGACAGGAGGATTGTCTGTTCAAAACCAGCTTCAGCAACTTAGTGAGGCCCTATACTGAGACCCTGTCTATAAATAAAATATTTTTGAAAGGCTGGGGATGTGGCTCTGTGATTAAGTGTCCCTGGGTTCAATTCCTTGTAGCAAAAAAAAAAAAAAAAAAAAAAAGAAAAAAGAAAGAAAGAAAAGGAAAAGAAAATTACCTTGGGCCTCTCCAAGAGTTGGGATTTATTCTTAACAGCCCAATGATTCATTTTTGCTCATTTAGGTCATCACTAGTTAATTGAGAGTGCTTATAGATTTAACTCTTTACCCTCAAAGAACTTTTAACTTTACCATTTATACAGGTATGGCAAGATAAGGTTGTTAACTCCAACTCCTTTCATTTTAGTACAATTTACTGTTCTGCTACTAATGCCATGGTAGTTTCCACAATTTGCACAGCGCCTCTTTTCCCTTTGTAATGTTACTATTAGAAGCTATTGTAACAATACTATTATCTAATACACTCATATTATTATGACATTATCATATAATAAGTATTAATACTTTTGTGATTGTTTTGTGGTTATTTGTGTATTTTTCAAGTTACAAGACTGTAAATGTCTGATGGGTTCAAACATTATTAAGTATTTAACATGGCATTGTTTACACCAAAGCATTCCTTTCAGCTAATACTGTCCTCTACCATTGGACAACTTTGATTCTTGGCTTAGTTTTCCCTTCCATCAAATTTTTATTTTTTAATTTGTTTTTGCATTCTGGGGATTGAACCCTGAGCCTTGTACATATTAGGCAAGTACTCTACCACTGAGCTACACCCCTAACCCCCATTCAGATTTTTGACATCATCTTGGCAGATCAGATGTCAATGACTGTATAAATAAACAACAGCAGCAGCAACAATAATGATAAAATAACTTATTCATATTGAGCACTTTCTATGTGTCAGGCCTTTTTCTAAGAATTTACATTGGTTAACTAATTTGTAGGCAACCATGTAAAACAGATACTACTATGATCCTTTTTTTTCAGATGAAGAAACTGAGACAGAGGCTAAGTGACTTCTCTGAGGTTACTAGAACTAGTTTGTAACTACTCTGCCCATAAAATCTCTTAATTTTTGCTCAAGCAAACATTGTCTTGGTTCTGTTCTAGTAACTCAGTATTGTGGCCACATCTTCTAACATTGCTTTCATATCTGAATTTTGCCTCCCTAACTTAAACCATAGTAATTTACAGTTCTTACTGTCATAGTTTCTTTGTTTTTCCATTTCAAGTCTCTTAGCCTGTCAGTCTCTTACAGATTTTACATTTTTCCTTTCTTCTCTACACTGTGACCTGTGGGGTACGTTGCTTCAGTTATTTTCTTACTAGCATTTGCAGTTTTTATTGTTCCTACCCATGCCTTCTGTTCTTACTCTGTCATGGAGAAACCTCGTAGAGTATGGGGCTTTAGTGCCCCCATTAATATGGAATTGAGTTCTCTTGTGTGTCTGCTTTGGTGTCTGCCAAAGCAGTTCTGCTCAGTTCCCTCCTTGGATTTCCACAGTGGCAGTTCTAAAATCTTGATCACTTGACTCAAACTTTCATTGCCCCAGGCTTGGCAGAAAATTTTGTCTACTGCCTCATAGGAAAAAAAAAAAAAGGCATGAATT